GCACAGCCTTTTCCGTTTATTATTTTTGGCAAGAAGGCGGTTCAGTGATTCAGTAAGGCCGTGATGTGCATGAGTGCTCTTCAAAAATATGTCTTATTGCCCTAAAAGTCAAAATGTTGCTTTACGCTTCGTTTGCGTTGCTTTCCCGCCCTTTCCTCTCCTTCTAAGGATAGCTGTGACGGTGATGCTAAATCCCTGGCTATCTGAAGCAAATTCTACATCAGGCAGAGTCACTGGGATGAAAGCAAAAATCAGGTGGAGGAAATCAAGAACCTCCAATTTGTAAATTCCTCTTTGACACTGTTGACAACTTTCTAGCAGGCAAGCTGGATTTCTCAAGAATGAAGAAATGTGGTCTCAGCAGGGTCATCTATGGAGGGTGGGGTTTTTCTCAGAAGGGTAGTAGGAGATGGGTGATTGACTCAGTGGGTATGTTAAACCTGTTGAGGACTGTTAACGACTGCAATTACCGGTAGTCCTACAGGAAAAAGCAAAGGATAGTATGCAGATGACCATACACATTAGCATATGTAATGAGACAAGAATCCAATATCTGTATTCAGACCAGGTCTCTCCATAGTTTTCAGTTTAGTAATAAGTTGCAATTCAGCAACTTCTCTTTCAAGTCTGTTTCTGAAATTGTTTTGTAATAAGACAGCTGCTTTGAGATCCTACATTGAATGTCCTGGGAGATTGACGTGTTCTCCTATTGGCTTCTCTGTCTTGTGATTCCTGATGTCAGATTTATGTCCATTTATCCTTTGGCATAGGCCAGGCATGTCCAACAGGAAGGTCGTGATCTACTGGTAGATCACTGAACACCTGTGGTAGATCACTGGTAGATCACTGGCTTCCCCCAATGAAGCTCAACTTTGCCCTGCACCCCCAAAAAACGAGGCTTTCCTCCTCCCTAAAAAAAGCTCAAAAACTTTGACCTGAACCCAAAAAAAGGGGGTAGATCACTGCCAGTTTTTAACTCTGTGAGTAGATCGCAGTCTCTTGGGAGTTGGCCTGTTTGTCCAACAAAGAGAGCTGAAGTGCACTGCTGGCATTTGATATCAGTTTGTGGAAGAGAAAACCAGCACTTGGTTTTTGTGTGTGACACCTACAAAAGACAGGCCAATTTCCCTCGCACTCATGGAAGACGATTACCAGATTGGGGTGCTAGTCAAATCACCCCTTGTTCATATTTGAAGGACCTCAGTCAACATTTGCTTTCCTGGGGAAGTCTTACAATCATAAATGTGCTCAGGTTAAGGCTCTGGTGAACCTCCACAGGAAGTAAATTACATAATAATGGAGCAGCTGCACAGAACAATTACACTTCTGACTTTTTGTGTGTGGATCATATTGTTCCCTGGAAAAGAAGGTGGGCTATTGGAAAAGATCAGACTGAAATTTTCAAATACGACATGGAAAAATCGACCCATCACAAGTCCATGTGTCAAGTGTGTGATTCTTTGGAAGGAAACTTTTGAGTATTCTTTCTTTCTTTCTTTTTTGAGCTCTAGCTATCAGTTTCTATTTCCACAGCAAACACCACAGCGATAACAACTTTGCTAAGCCCGAAGAACTATAGACCACACCTTTGTTTTCCAAAGGTTTGATTCTTTAAACACTTGGCATTACAGAGTCCTTTGGAACTTCTATGCAGGAGAGCACGACGATTACCAAAACTAGTCTCTGCAACATTCTTCGCTCCCAGCAAACAGTTTTAAAGCACTTTTAAAATAACATGCTAACACACATGTATTTTTCATAACTGAATAAAATATGTATTTTTAACAAGTATTTTCCCTTAATGTGCTTGTCACTCTTCGGGCTGCAACAAAGGGCTCAGCTTCATTCTTCTCCCATATAAAAGGAACAAGCAAGCGAAACACAACACTAGGAGGAATGTGGAACAGAGCAACCAAAATGATGGGGGGCCTCGTTTCAGTAGCACTGCTTTGCATGCAAAAGGTCCCAGGTTCAGCTCTTGGCATCCCTAGGCAGGGCTGGGAACATCCCCAGCCTGGAATCTTGGAGAACCACTACCAGCCAGTGTAGACAAGACCGAGCCAGCAGGGCCAATGGTCTGACTCAATAGGAGGTGTCTGCCTGTGTCCCTACATTGAGAGTTGGCTAAGCTCATTTTGCTTGTGAAAAAGCCACGTCGTATTACAGAAGAGCCGTTACTCAGGAGCACAGCATCTGCTTTGCATGCAGAAGGTACCATGCAAAACCTCCCTGCTTGGATCTTTGGAGACATGCTGCCAGTCCGTGTTGGCATTATATAGCTAGATCAGGAGTCAGAAAACTTTTTTAGCAGGGGGCCAGTCCACTGTCCCTCAGACCTTGTGGGGGGGCCAGACTATATTTTGAAAAAAAATATGAACGAATTCCTATGCCCCACAAATAACCCAGAGATGCATTTTAAATAAAAGCACACATTCTACTCATGTAAAAACACACTCATTCCTGGACCGTCCATGGACTGGATTGAGAAGGCGACTGGGGTGCATCCGGCCCCCGGGCCTTAGGTTGCCTGCCCATGCCATAATATCACAGAATGATGACTTCGCTTTTTAAAACTGTGTTTATTTTTTATTTCAAAGGACTTTAAACTAGCACAATTGGACTTCTCCCCTCCTGTGCCTCCCCCTAATCTCAAAGGGTTCCTATTTCCATCAGGGAAACATGAATGCTTGCACCGACAGAGCAATGTCCTTGCTGCTATGTCGAATTTCACCTTGCAACTGAATGTTTGAAATCAACAGCCCATGCAGCTGAATCAGTTTCATCGGCTATCACCCACCTTCACCCAAAACCATTAAGTTCACAATTGCTTTCAACGTTTCTGCAGTATGGCAAAAAATTCCGAATGGTAATCGCTGGGAATTAAACTGTGTCCTAAAGGTAAAGGGCCCCTGCCCATTAGGTCCAGTCGTGACCGACTCTGGGGTTGCAGTTCTCATCTCGCTTTACTGGCCGAGGGAGCCGGCATACAGCTTCCGGGTCATGTGGCCAGCATGACTAAGCCGCTTCTGGCGAACCAGAGCAGCGCACAGAAACGCCTTTTACCTTCCCGCCGGAGCGGTACCTATTTATCTACTTGCACTTTGACATGCTTTCGAACTGCTAGGTTGGCAGGAGCAGGGACCGAGCAACGGGAGCTCATCCCGTTGCGGGGATTCAAACCGCCGACCTTCTGATCAGCAAGTCCTAGCACAGAGCCACTGTGTCCTACCCCGCTGCAAAACACTCTAGGCTCCCCTCTTTTCTGTTGTACTAGGAGAATCCCTGCTGCAGGCCTGTGTGAGGAGCCCTGCCAGAGACTTGTAAATAGCCCCGTTTAATAAACCTGTTACACAACCAACACCACCCGCGAAGCTTGAATCGAGTAGCCAAGGTTCAACACACAACAGAAAGACATTGTTAGTGTTTGTTTATGGAACACACAGGGGGGGAAAGCTCTGGCTTAGAGTCAGAAAAACCTAAAGCTGGCATTGTTTTATATATCTGCATTGATCAGATGGTTGCAAATAAAAGCTGTGGCAATTCTTCTCCACCTGCCCTGAGGCATTAGGGATGACTCTGCACAAAACCTGAATTACAAATACCCCATTGTTCTTTTTCCAGATCCAATGGGAAGGGAAACCGATAAAATCAGTTCCGCTTTTCAGCTGTGTTTTTGCTATCTCCAGAAAGATCTCCGGGGAATCTTTATAGGCCGCTCCATTAGGAAGTGATTTTAACCAAACAGTTGTTGGTATTAATCAACCAGCAAGCTGACCCAATGCGTGTTTCAGCAAGTGTTAGGGTCCGATGGGAGGAACTTGAGACATATGAGGGTGCCTCAGAAAAAAACAGTTCAAGGTTCATCAAAGATGTCATGGATTTATGACACAAGGTCTTGCAGAGCTCCCCAATAGCATTTAGGGGATTGCAGCCGAAGTTTGTAGCCCTGAGGATCCTGTGCTCCACAATACGCTGTTAGACTACAACTCCCATCATCCGACTGCTGGCCACGCTGATGGGAGTTGGGAGCCCGATAACCTCTTTTGAGCTACAGATTCCCCATCCTTGCCATTGGCCTTAATGAACTTAATGGGGCTCACTCCTGAGCTAATATACATGTTGTTTAGTCGTTTAGTCGTGCCCGACTCTTCGTAACCCCATGGACCAGAGAATGCCAGGCACCCCTGTCTTCCACTGCCTCCTGCAGTTTGGTCAAACTCATGCTGGTAGCTTTGAGAACAGTGTCCAACCATCCCATCCTCTGTTGTCCCCTTCTCCTTGTGCCCTCCATCTTTCCCAACATCAGGGTCTTTTCCAGGGAGTCTTCTCTTCTCTTGAGGTGGCCAAAGTATTGGAGCCTCAGCTTCAGGATCTGTCCTTCCAGTGAGCACTCAAGGCTGGAGAGGTTTGATCTTCTTGCAGTCCATGGGACTCTCAAGAGTCTCCTCCAGCACCATAATTCAAAAGCACTGATTCTTCGGTGATCAGCCTTCTTTATGGTCCAGCTCTCACTTCCATACATCACTACTGGGGAAAACCATAGCTTTAACTGTATGGACCTTTGTCGGCAAGGTGATGTCTCTGCTTTTTAAGATGCTGTCTATAATATAATATACATAGAAGCTGGCTTCTCTGGATCTCTACTACTCCTGCCCAGCCAAGATACTTTTCAGCTGAAATGGGATCTGCCAGTGAAATATATGATCTGCTCCTGAGCTACGCAAGGGCTGTTAACTCAGAAGAACAGCATCGGTTTTGCATGCAAACAACCCCAAATTCAATCTCTGGCATCTCCACTTAAGGCTGTGTGAATGCCATGAAATCACAGAATTGCAGAGTTGAAAGAGACCCTGAGGAACATCTAGTCTAAGGTTACCAGACGTCCCCATTTCCAGATTTACAAATCAGTCCCCTGACAAAATCCATCCATTCTGACTGAAGTTGAAAAGTGTCCCTGGACTCATTGAAAAAAATCTGGTAACCTTAATCTAGTCCAACCCCCCTGCAATATGGGGACTGAACCTGTAACCTTGGCATCATCAGAACCATGCTCTAACCAACTGAGTTATCCCAGTTGACTCCCTGGTCCTGAATAGGGTAACTGTGCCCCTGAAGGACCAGCTGTGCAGCCTGAGAGTCATTCTGGACTCACAGCTGTCCATGGAGGCACAGGTTAATTCTGTGTCCAGGGCGGCTGTCTACCAGCTCCATCTGGTACGCAGGCTGAGACCCTACCTGCCCGCGGACTGTCTTGCCAGAGTGGTGCATGCTCTAGTTATCTCCTACTTGGACTACTGCAATGCGCTCTACGTGGGGCTACCTTTGAAGGTGACCAGGAAACTGCAATTAATCCAGAATGTGGCAGCTAGACTGGTGACTGGGAGTGGCCGCTGGGACCACATAACACCGGTCCTGAGAGATCTGCATTGGCTCCCAGTACGTTTCCGAGCACAATTCAAAGTGTTGGTGCTGACCTTTAAAGCCCTAAACGGCCTCGGCCCAGTATACCTGAAGAAGGGTCTCCACCCCCATCTTTCAGCCCGGACACTGAGATCCAGCACCGAGGGCCTTCTGGTAGTTCCCTCATTGCGAGAAGTGAGGTTACAGGGAACCAGAAGTAAGGTTACAGGGAACCACTACCAGGCTTCTTGGTAGTGGCGCCCTCCCTCCCTTCAGATGTGAAGGAAATAAGCAGCTAAAAGACATCTGAAGGCAGCCCTGTTTAGGGAAGTTTTTAATATTTAATGCTGTATTGTTTTTAACACTTGATTGGAAGCCACCCAGAGTGGCTGGAGAAACTCAGCCAGATGGGCGGGGTATAAATAATATATTATTATTATTATTATTATTATTATTATTATTATTATTACCCCTTGCATGAAACCTTGGAGAGGTGCTGCCAGTCAGTGCAGAATAGACAATACTGAGCTAGATGGACCAACAGCCTGAGTCAGTTCAAGGAAGTTTCCTACGGCTCCTCTTCTCCCCAGGCCCCATTCATGCTCTAGATTGCCCTGAGCGTCACTGACGGCAGCTGGTTCTGTTGCAACATTCAGAGCAGTTTTTAAAGGGCTTTTTAGAACAACTCACACCTTATAGAAATCAGAAACAGCTAACGATTGAAGAACTTGGTGCATGCGGAGATGATGCTAAAATACTTGGCTTTTTATTGTTTCCTAGACTCGGAGCAGGGAAGCTAAAAAAACCATACAGGACCGAAAAAGGCACTGTGCATTACAACATGAATGGATACCGCCCTCTGGCGACCATGCAAGGAGTAGCTCACTTCCTCCTTTCAAAACGCAAAGCAACCCAGTTTACAAAGGTGATTCAGAGAACCCCTTTCAGCTTACAGTCAAGCAGCTGCAACTGCAATTGCTGGGGTTTCCTGTGCGGTGCCTTGTGACAAGATCTTATCAGAAATACATCTCGCCTGTGCCTTTCTGGGAAGATGGTGCAAATATCCCGGTTTTTGAAATCATAGGCTTATAGGGTTAGCTGCAGAAATAAATCATGTCCGCTCTCTATCCATTTGCAATGCATCAGCCAGGAAGATCACGACTCTTGGTGAGACATTGTTGTCAGCAAAACTCTTCTGCGATTCATCCAAGGTCTAATAAAGATCAAGGGAATGGGGAGTCAGGGGCTCCTCAAAACACCTCCCAAAAGAAAAGACCCACTTGCAAAGTATTTCTGGAGCTATTCTCTTTTTTTTGCTGAGAAGCTCCTTGCTGAAAATGCAAACCTGGTAGCCATTTGGCATTGTCTTTTTGATCCAGGTCCTGTTTCCACAGGAATGCATTTCTTCTGAGCTTCTCCAACCACCCTCCCCTCTAGTCTGGCTCCCAAGACCCTGCCTACACCCGCCTGCTGCCCTCAGAGGGTAACTCCTATCACCCCTGTCTGCAGGCCCTGCAGGCTAGGAATGATGGGAGCTGTAGTCCAGGAACTTCTGGAGGGCTCTAGGTTGGGGAAGCCCAGGCCACACACACCTCTCCCCCTTCCAATAATTGCCTATTGATACCCTACTATTCATCCAAGACTGGCTTCCAAAACCCACACAAATGTGGCAGTATAACTCGGGATATAACTTTGGGACATGTGTGTAGGGGGTCTTCTGATCCACGGCAACTGGAGGTAAGTCTCAGCTCTTCTACTCCATGGTGGAAGACAGGAGGGACTGCAGACTCAGAGCTGGCTTAGTAGCAAAGATGCCAACACATAAAACAAGGGAAGGGGCACCTGTGGTCCTTGAGCTGTTGACAGACTACAACTCCCATTGGCCATGCCAACAGGGGCTGATGGGAGTTGTAGTCCGACAACGTCTTGGAAGGCCACAGGTCCCCCATCATCTGAATCAGATCTAACTAGCTAATATAGACAACAGTTCTTTAAAAGGTTCCACAGTGCTGAGTGGGACTTGGCGTGCCGTTCAGAAAGCGGCTAAGGCTAGTGGCATGCTTTGCACAGGCGGCCTTGGGTTCGATCCCTTGCATCTCCAGTTAAAACAACAACACTCAAGGAGGAGAATCAGAAGAAGAAAGAGGCTGCCTGTGAGAGTACTGGCTCAATGGCCTGGCTCAGTGTCAAGGCAGTTCTTTATATCCCTATATCTACATAGCAGCGAAAGAAGCCTGAATTAAAATCCACTTTGTTTCGATATTGCAACGAGCATCACTTTCCTGTTTGGTATTGCACCTCTACAGATTAACAGATCAATGTGTATCAGACAGACCATCAATTTTCAAAGGCGGACCTGTTGCATAATCAAGAGATCGCATTTAACAAGATGATAGTCCCTAGGATTTTCAGAGAGAGAAGGCACCAGCTACGATGATCTCAATCGATTTGGCTCTTAAAAGAGGCTGGCCATCCCATGGGAAGTTTTGGTTCAGGAATGCGACCAGGCCGGCTTGCGTTTGGAGACGAAGGCCTTGATCCCCTCCTGTCCATCCTGCAGGGCCAGGTTCTCCACCATGACCCGGGAGGCCGTTCTGTAGGCAGTGCTGACGTCCTGCTCCATCTGTTTGTAAAAGGTGGCTTTGCCCAGAGCCACGACAGGCCGGCTGCTCTCGCATATCCTGCGGGCGATTCTCAGGGTCTCGTCTTCCAGCTTGTCCTCTGGGACCACCCTGCTGATGAGCCCGTGCAAAAGAGCCTCCCGAGCGGTCATGGGTTCTCCCGTCAACAGCATCTCCATCGCAACCTGGAAAGTATTGTCGCAAACAAAGAAATTAAGGGCCAGGCGGGCAGAGCGGCGAATGCAAAATGTACAGTGGGCCAGATTCTGCTAGCGCATCCCTCTCTAGTCTTCATCCAGGCAAGCAAGAATCATGATCAGACTTCAAGGACACAGAGTTTCCCAAGCTTGGGTCGCCAGCTGTTTTTTGGGGGGACTACAATTCCCATCGTCCCCGACCACTGGCCCTGTTAGCTAGGGATGATGGGAGTTGTAGTAGGGTTTTTTTTCCTGAACCCCCTGGCTGCGTCCTTCTGTTGGAGGACAGAGTGGTGTATAGGGATGGAGAAATCGATCTACTTTGGTTTCTCTCAGTTTCTCATTGTCCCAGTTTTAAGTACAGTTCTCCACATTTCCACATCAGCTCACAATTTTCTTTTGAAGTCCTCATGAAAATTCACCAGCATTTGAATGCAAATTTCTCCAAATAGGCATGTTTGTTTGCAGTTTTGCCTAATATATACATTTTTTTTTATTTTTTTTGGCAAATCAATTTCCCCTTATGTACCTTTGTATGTTACTTTCCGTAATGCATGCACATAAGTCCATTTTGGCTCAACTGGAGAAGACGAAAAAAGATGTTTCAACTGTCCAAAAACAACTGGAGACCCAAGTGTGGGAAGCCCCCTTCTAGTCCGTCAAAAGAAATTGAGGGAAAATGTGAATCAAGGCCAATGAAGAGAGTGGCCGGGGGGCGGGGGGAGAGTGATGAGGCCAGGCAGAGAAGTTTGGAGGGATACATTAGGACCTCAGGTCAGAGATTCCCCACTCCTGTACTAGGAAGATCTTAGTATCTGGTTGGGAGACGTAGTACATACATGTTGGGAAATCCCATGGGATGAGAAAAGAGGAATAAGAAGACGACTGGCCTATGGAGACCAAGTCACTGTGCACATACTGCCAGACCACAGGCAAATTCTTACCGTTTAATAATCAGTGGGGCGAGCCCAAAACTTTGCTGCCCAAGGCAGAACAGCAAATGTCTCCCTCCCACCTTGCTCAACCGAAGGCTGACCAAGTTATTTTAGTGCACGAGGCAGAACGTCCCACAAGTGTGCCTCTCCGTGGGAGTGAAAATGCACAGGATAAATAAATGAAAACTGCTGCCTTTCTCAAGACATCTTAAATCAGCTGCCTGAGGCAACGGCCTCACTCTGCCTAACGCTTTGGCCGGCCCTGATAATGGCACGCCCACAGTTATGAAGCCCCTGTAGTTCAGGCGCCAACATGACCGCTGTGTTTGGGGACTATCTGCTTGCAGCGAGTACAACAAGTGAACAAAGTACGGCAACAAAACCCTTCTTCTGAAGAGCCCCACCTTTCTCGGGAGAGATCTCCCCAGGGCTACTCCAGGCGTTGAGCAGAACAGGCCAACGTTCACTCCCGGTGTGGAGAACCTGGATTCCTCGCTGGCCACAGCAATATCGCAGCTGGCCACCAACTGGCAGCCGGCGGCCGTGGCCAAGCCGTTGACTTTGGCGATTACAGGAACAGGTAGCTTGGGGAGCAACGTCATGACCTGTAAGAAAGCAGTTTTTTTTAGTGCTGGTGCTGACCTATAAAGCCTTACAGGGCTCAGGACCACAACACCTTAAGGACCGCCTCTCCCCATATGAACCGACCCAAACCCTGCATCTCAGGCCCTCCTCTGTGCCCCCACTCCCAGAGAAGTTTGGAGAGTGGCAACACGAGCAAGGGCCTTTTCTGTGGTGGCTCTCCATTTGTGGAATGGAGAGGCTCACCAGGAACCATCATTGCATGTCTTTAGGCAGGCCTTCAGCCATTATTAGACAACCCATGGCCTTTTAAATGGGGGGGGGGCTATTATGATGTGATTGTTTTATTGCCTTTATTATTATGCTATGTGAATTAATTTTGTAAAGGTTGTACGCTGCCCTAGGATCTTTGGATAAAGGGTGGTATATAAATCTTATTCTTATCATTATTATTGAGGAAAAGTGTCACCCGTATTCTTCTAACGACAAGATCCTTTATGACTTTCATTAAGGCAAATGAACGCATTTAATAATACAGCACCGATGCATTGCTAGTCAAATACAGAAAACCTCTCAAATCTATGGCCCCTAACCCATCTCAAAATTATGCTCGGACCATCCTGTTCCAAGTTAACAGTCCTCCAATTCTATTCAAGGGGCAGGTCTTAGCAGTTGGGTCTTCTAGGTATCAAGGTAACTGGCTACTCAGTTCCTTACGCTTGCCAACACTCAGCCAGATGTTATTCCTTTGATTCTATCTCCTGAAGAGGTCTTCAGAAACATCAAGCAACGCTTTAACGTGTGTGTTGTTGTTGTTTTTTTGAGCAAACCATCCAATTAAAATTTTGTGGCATGATGGAAGCCGATGAACCAGGCAGGTGAGCTCTTTAGCAGTGGCGGCATCGATGTGAACCATCTCACCTCAGAGCAGGTCTCAAAGACTTCTCTGTGGTGCTTCTCGCCCTTCTCAAACGCCAGTTCCTTCAAGTCGTGCCCAGAGGAGAAAACGGGACCTTCTCCTGGGTGGGAGAAGGCATGTGAAAGGAAGCAAGAGAATTTTATGTGCATCTTGTACCCTCGACATGACCAAATCCTTGCCAAGAAAACGACAGGCTGACACACACATTACTGCAGAGATGGGGAATCTGTCATCCATTTCCTGTTTGTTCAGAATCTCTTACACACACACCCTGATAAAACATGCCCACAGTTCACTAGATGCCAGGACCGGACACCCACCTACCCTCCCATTCTGAGGGGGAAAGCCCTGTTCATTTTGTGGAGGTCTGCCTCTTTTGTTCTTTTAGTTGTGGCAGCCATTTTGTGTTACGCCACGCACCCGGCCTTCAAGCACCTGCCATTTTGCAGTCTGGTGCCCATGGCACTTTCTCAAAATCTCAAATGTTCCCACTGGGCCTCCAAAGGCTGACACCCCCCCCCCCACCTTGAAGTAGCACAAGAACTTCTGGTGGCAAAGCAAGATGGAAATCGTAAGGGTGCTTTAAATGCAGAAAGGAGAGAAAAGGTGTCCGAAGAGCGGGAAGAAATTAAATATGATCTGATAGTGAAGAGATGTAGGAGAGGGTGGAATCTGGGGGTGAATAGATGGAGGTGTCAGAGATGGAGTGAAGACAAGTCTCTTCTTAGACAAAAGACTGTTCAAGGATGACAAGGTGGCACAAATACTTTGAATGGTTTTGTAAGACCAATTTCCCCACCTTCTTCTTCTTCTCCTTATTATTATTATTATTATCGCTACTACTACTACTACTATTACTATTATTATCTATTAAATTTCTCTACTACCCTCCATCCAAGGCTCACAGAACGGTTTACAATATATAAACCCAAAGTTACATACCTACCCTCATAGGTTTGATGAGCAAAATACCTGAAATTATAATGACTCTCAGATCGGTGCTTTCAATATCACGCAGGATATCCTCACGGAGGGAGCTTATCATGGAGAGCGAAAGTGCATTTCTCTTGAGAGGATTGTTCAAAACAATATTCCTGTGAAATATAATTTTTATGAGAGATGCTTTCATTTGTAGCTGTCAGCACCGTGTTAAGATTTGTGGGTAACAAAGGATTATGTTGTATCAATGTGCATGTAACCTCTCCGGTAAAAATATGATTCATGAAATCATATCTCCGGTAAAAATATGATTCATCATGAAACTGTGGGCATGCATTCACGCTAAACCACGGTTTGCTTCTAACTGTGGTTTAATGTGATGCGGCAGCTAGACTGGAAGTTGCGTTGCAGGATTTCACAGAGGGAAATTTCCAGTCCAATCTGGAGATGGTAGGAAGTGAAACAGTGACCTTCTGCAACCCATGGACCAAAAATGTAGCTCTCTAGCCAAGCATCCAGAGACATCACATTTGCATCCCATAAATATATGTTAACTAGCTCACATGGATGGGACGCGGGTGGCGCTGTGGGTTAAACCACAGAGCCTAGGACTTGCCGATCAGAAGGTCAGCGGTTCAAATCCCCGTGACGGGGTGAGCTCCCGTTGCTCGGTCCCTGCTCCTGCCAACCTAGCAGTTCAAAAGCACGTCAAAGTGCAAGTAGATAAATAGGTACCGCTCCAGCAGGAAGGTAAACAGCGTTTCTGTGCGCTGCTCTGGCCACATGACCCGGAAGCTGTACGCCGGCTCCCTTGGCAGGTAAAGCGAGATGAGTGCTACAACCCCAGAGTCGGCCACGACTGGACCTAATGGTCAGGGGTCCCTTTACCTTTAGCTCACATGGTTGGGAAGAAAGTTGTTTTTCTCTCTCCACCAGATAAAAAATTGTCGGAGCCAGCCGTTACAAATGGCGCAGTTTAGCATAAAAAAAAGATACAGAGAGCCAGCAATATTTTCAGGATGGTATGAGCAGCTCCTTTCGAACTTCTCCCTCCTCCCGTCGCTTTTTTATTATCCTTTGTCTCTCTCCAGCCGCATGGCCGTTTGCCAATGTCTCACGTTACCTCATCCGGTCAAGGCTTTTATTGCCCCCATCACCATATAGGGTCATCACTGCCCAGAGGAAACACAACTCCATTTAAGGTCAATACATTCCAATACATTGTAAAGCTCAGAGTGCTGGTCAGCCGAGGTCAGGGGGCACCCTGCAATATTACAAGCCTTTACCGTGGCTTTATGACTCCCACAAAAAATACCTAACGAACAAGCAGAGTTGCCAACAGCCACAAAGCAAAAGGACATTAAGTATACCAATTGCTGTTGTTTAATTCCCAATAATTCATAGGGTTGGACATTGTCTCATTACACAAATATAAACTCCTACAACGTTAGTTAATTCTGCTCTGTCAGTTCCCATATTCTTACTATCTAGTCTTCAAATGTAGGGGGGGGAAAGAGTGTTTTAAAAATTATATGAGTACAGTGGTACCCTGGTTCTCAAACACCTTGGTACTCAAACAACTTGGAACCCAAACACTGCAAACTGTAAGTGTTCTAGTAATTTATTTCTTGCTTGCAGAACTTGGGAGCTTTGGCCCAAGTTTTTGGTTCAGCTCCAGTTTTGGACAACAGGGTTTTCAAAGTCCACCATTAAGCGCCACCTTTGCCCCTTGCCCCAGTTCAGCTCACGCAGATATATGCCGAGCATTTCCATTGCACGCAGAAGGCCTCAGGCACAATCAACATCGTCTGCAGGAGAGAGCACATCTGCCTAGCAGCAGGAACAACAGAATTTTGAAGTCAGAAGAGGTCCCCCAAAGGTCATCCAGACTAGCCCTTGATCACCGCAGGATCTTGCCCGTTCTGTATGCTCATGTGTTTAAAAGAGATGAAGCGGAACCCTCCAAAATGACTCTCACTTAAATGATTGCGTGAAATGATTCACGCAGCATAAGGGGCGGGGGAACATGTTCCAGATGTTGTTGGAACCCAACTCTCACCTGCCTCAGCCAGCATGACCAATGGTCAGGGATGGCAGGAGTTTGCCCCCCCCAAACCTAGAGGAGGGTCAGTTTCTTCACCCCCTCCCTAAGCAATTCCCCTGTCCAAAAAAATGCCACCCACTCTCTCTTTCCAGTTGACATAAAAGCTCAAGGGACTTGGAAGGGACTAGAAACTTGACCCTGGCAAAGGGATGAGCAGTTGGGGGGAGGCGAGCAGGCAAACCTCCCTAACCCAAATTCTCTGGGTCCGTTCGTGCGTCACAGGCAGTGCGGTGCAGTGGTTAGAGCGTCGGGCTAGGACGTGGGAGAACAGGGTTCAAATCCCTAACCAACCTCACGTGGTGGTTGTGAGGATGAAATGGAGAATGGTGCACGGGTGAGAACCGTGCATGCAAACCTCCTGGAGCTTTTTGGAGGGGAAAGCGGGACAAAAATGCAAATAAACAAGCCCATTCCTCCTCTGTCCGGCCCACCTGATCCCATCCTGCTGCCACGTGCGAGTCAGCCTCTGCTCCGCGGGAACTTGCTGGCAATGCTGCCTCCGCCCGGGCGCGCCGCCGGCCCTTGCAAAGGCGCGCTGGGTGCGGAGCAGCGGCCGCGGGAGCTGCGCGCTGCAGCGCCCGGCGCCTCTTGCAAAAGCAGCTGCAGCCATTGCAACCTCCCTCCCTGTCCGGGCCGGGGGCGGAGCAGGAGGAGGAGCTGTTCTGCACGCTGCTGACCCCTGCTGGCTGCCAAAGGACAGCCGAAAACTGCTTTTCTTTCCCCCCTTTTTATATAAAAATTTAAATCTCTTAAAATACTATACCAATCTTTAACCATTTCGATTTAATCCCTTCACCTCTCTCTCCCACAACCCAGTACTTCCCTCCACCCGTGTGCGATCTTCTTTACCTTTTATTTTTTGTTATTGTTGCGTTATTCACTTTATTTGTTATTCCATCCTTGATATATTATCATCCTATCTCTTTGCGCCTTTTAAACTTTTGCATATGAATTTTTAAACTCCAGCCCCGACTTTTTTCATGTATTCCTTTACACATTCCCGCTCTTTATTATTTTTTTGATTAGAGTAGCCTCTAATTGATGCTGTTAATTTTGCCATCTCAAGAAATTTGGCTCTCCATTCTAATAATTCTGGTATTTTATCAGTTTTCCAATTTTTTTTGCCACTACAATTCTGGCTGCCGCGGTTGCGTAATGGAATACATTCCTTTTATCCTTAGGGATGTCACTCGATACCAAACCCAGCAAAAATGCCTCTGGTTTTTTAAAGATTGAACTCAATAAATATCTTTTTTTTTTTAATGATTTTTTATTAATTTTTCTATATTTCATTACGTATCAAAAATCAAAGAAAAAAAATCCATAACTTGAAGCATTGCTTAAATAAAGCATCAACTTCTTTCCCTCCCTCTAACAGACTTCCACACACCTTTACCAATTTCTTCGCATACCTATATCCACTTTTTTTACCTTATATCAATCTTTTAGCAATCACCTTCTTCTATGTAAATCAGCTCCTTAATTTCCCATTACAAAACATTTCAACTCAAACCTACAAACGTTTTCAAATGTTTACAATTTTCTTTCATTTAAAGTATAAATTTGCCCCAGTCTTTTTGAAGCAGTTCATCACGCCAATTCCGAATCTTTCCCGTCAGCTTAGCCAGCTCTGCATATTCAACCATCTTTACTTGCCAATCTTCCAGTGTGGGGAGTTCTTGCTGCTTCCATTTCTGGGCCAGGAGTATTCTTGCAGCCGTTGTGGCATAAATAAACAAGTTTGCATCCTTTACTTGAATTTCCTCAATTAACCCCAGCAGAAAAGCTTCTGGTTTTTTATGAAAGTTATACTTAAATACCTTTTCCAATTCATTATATATAATATCCCAGAAGGCTTTGATCTTAGAACAAGTCCACCACATATGCAAAAAATTCCCTTCCTTCTCCTTACATTTCCAGCAGGCTTTATCCTGGTTCCTATACATTTTGGCTAGCTTACTTGGTGTGATGTACCAACAGTACATCATCTTCATTAAGTTCTCTTTAAGTGCCACGCATGCTGTGAAATTGTTTTTGTCCACAGTTTTTCTCACCTCTCAAAGTCAATGTTGTGTCCCAGATCCTGAGCCCATCTTATCATAACACTTTTTACCTCCTCGTCCTTTGTATTCCACTCTAAATATCTTTTTAAGCTCTTCATGGATCATAATCCAGAACTGCTTTTCTACTACTGTAGTGGCTTTTTGAAAAAATAAGAATTTAATCGCGCCGCACACCATTTTTTTTTATTGCTAAGAAATGCATCGGAAAACCAAGAGATCACAACCAGGATTGTCCTTGTTGATGCTCTTGCTCTCATTTTGGAAAGATCTGTATCCATATTCTGCAAACAAACAAACGAAAATATTTCAATAATATGCTATACAGGACTGGATTTAGGTTTGATGAGGCCCTCAGCTACTGAAGGTCATGGGGCCCTTTATATGTCCAGCTGTCCTTTGTCAACAACAAACTGTCCCTGTTTTTGTGTTGAATATATGCTATATGGTAATTTATGGACCTAACAGGTATCTAAAGCCATTTGCACCTAACAATGTATTTTATCAAAGTAATTGTTGAACTGAAATACAATTAAGAGGAAGTGATATTTTAGGGATCAGGTTAGCAGGCCATTACTTACACCATAGGAGCCTACACAACACAAAACACTGTTGCTGCATGTAGGTTTTATTTTATTTGTTTTTTATCTTATATTTTGGAAATATACATCCAGGTTTTTTTTACTTCAGTTTTTTGAGGGGCCCCCAAGAAAGTGAGGCCCTAAGCTATAGCTTGTTTAGTTTATATGTAAATCCGGCACTGATGCTATACTATACTATATGAAATGTTTAAAAGTTTCTTTGTCCTCGAGTCACGCTTGCCATCCACTCCTGCCACACCTGTGGGGCATGCCCCACCCCCTTTGAGAACCACCTATACTATGTCAGGAGCTTGTCCTACATTTGAGTAGGACCCTGGCAGAGATGCATGCCCGACTGGCGTGTTCTCTCCCTTCTGGTCGTTCGGGAGCTTCAGAAGCTTTCTTCTGCCCGAACATCACAGTGATCAACACCAACAGAAACCGGCACACTTAGGGATCCACAGAGTCTGCGCAGTTCGGGTGACAGACCTCAGCAAGTCAGCATTTTGGCTAATCTACTTTATTTACATATACAGTGGTAAAGGTAAAAGGAGCCCTGAACATTAGGTCCAGTCGTGACCGACTCTGGGGTTGTGGCGCTCATCTCACTTTATTGACCAAGGGAGCCGGTGTACAGCTTCCGGGTCATGTGGCCAGCATGACTAAGCCGCTTCTGGCGAACCAGAGCAGCGCACGGAAATGCCGTTTACCTTCCCGCTGGAGCGGTACCTATTTATCTACTTGCACTTTGACATGCTTTCAAACTGCTAGGTTGGCAGGAGCAGGGACCGAGCAACGGGAGCTCACCCCGTCACGGGGATTCGAACCGCTGACCTTCTGATCGGCAAGTCCTAGGCTCTGTGGTTTAACCCACAGCGCCACCTGCGTCCCAATATATACAGTGGTACCTCGGGTTATGTACTTAATTCATTCCGGAGGTCCGTTCTTAACCTGAAACTGTTCTTAACCTGAGGTACCACTTTAGCTAATGGGGCCTCCCGCTGCCGCCACATGATTTCTGTTATCATCCTGAAGCAAAGTTCTTAACCCGAGGTACTATTTCTGGGTTAGCGGAGTCTGTAACCTGAAGTGTATGTAACCCGAGGTACCACTGTACAGTCATACCTCGGGTTGAAGTAGCTTCAGGTTGAGCGTTTTCAAGTTACGCTCCACGGCGACCTGGAAGTAACAGAACGCGTTACTTCCGGGTTTCGCCACTTGCGCATGCACAGACTTTCGAAATGACGTCACACACATGCGCGGAAGCAGAGAATTGTGACCCACACACACGGGGGTTGTGGACCTTCAGAATGAATTAAGTACTTAACCCGAGGTACCACTGTATAACGTTTTAAATGCGCTTCAAGTGCATTATACAAATGTGACACTAGATGGCATTTCACAGCGTTTTTTTATGTGTCTAGATTCTATCCCTGTCTCCTCTTCTCCAGATTAAACACACCCAGTTCCTTTTGCCCACTCTTTACAAACAGAGGCCTGCACTTTCAAGTTCCATGTCCTGTCCCGCCCCTCTTATTTGCACCCACTGGAGAATTCCCTGTGAACTTTTCTCCACCCACTTTCTCCATACAATTGCTTGAAATATTATCCTCACATGGGAAATTTTTCACATATCCTCATCATTGTTGTTGTTTAGTCGTTTAGTCGTGTCCGACTCTTCGTGGCCCCATGGACCAAAGCACACCAGGTACTTCTGACTTCCACTGCCTCCCTTAGTTCGGTCAAACTCATGCTGGTAGCTTCGAGAACACTATCCAACCATCTCGTCCTCTGTTGTCCCCTTCTCCTTGTGCCCTCCATCTTTCCCAACATCAGGGTCTTTTCCAGGGAGTCTTCTCTTCTCCTCGGGTGGCCAAAGTCTTGGAGCCTCAGCTTCAGGATCTGTCCTTCCAGTGAGCACTCAGGGCTGATTTCCTTCAGAATGGAGAGGTTTGATCTTCTTGCAGTCCATGGGACTCTCAAGAGTCTCCTCCAGCACCATAATTCAAAAGCATCAATTCTTCAGCGATCAGCCTTCTTTATGGTCCAGCTTTCACTTCCATACATCACTACTGGGGAAACCATAGCTTTTACTATACGGACCTTTGTCCTCATCATTACAATCATCCATATCCTCTAAATTTCTATACCGCCCTTCATCCGAAGATCAAGGGGTGGCTTGCAATATAAAAACACAAAAATACATACCATAATAAACAAACTAACAAAAAAATCCCCCCATAGATTGTTTAAATGCCATGGATTGTTTAATTAGCCAAAGGTCTCTGAGAAAAGGCAAGTTTTATAGGCAAGAGAAAGAATGAAAACTGTAAACATTTGTGACAAATGTCAATGAATGCAAAACATATAGCCAGTCAGAATTCGCTTAAGGATGAAATGCATGCAAAGGAAGCCAAGCAACCTTTTACAATCGTTGCAATACCATATTAGGTATTAATACATAAATCCAGTTCTACTTAATATAAAGGCAAATATAAACTTACTATACTTACTAAATTCCGCACCTAGCTGCTAGAGGGCAGCACTTTCCAATGAAATAATAGCACACTCTCATTTTGTTCTCCTTTTGCAAAGCTACCTGTTTCATCAAATCCCTGCTTCTTCAATTGCTTCCCCCTCTGCCTTTCCACTGTTCCTTCCCGGCTCACCTTTGCTCTAGTCCAAGTTGCATTCTCTGTTTCACCACTTCACTTCCCAGACCTTGCAAGACTCAAGCTTATAGGGCTGGTCACTTTTCACAGCCACAATTACATTAGAATTTCTGTAAGTGACCTCCCTGGGACACAAGCCTGGGTAGTGTGTGCGGAGGGCCTGGGATGCCCAGATGACAAGACCCCCTCTCAGCCTCACTGATGTGGTCCAGAGGAAAGCAGAGCAAGACGTCTGGCACCAGCTTGGCTGCAGGAGTTACGGGAAGGAGGCGGACAAGGCGCCATCCAACTGTCCCAGGGACTTCGCTCCGGATTTGTGTAGGGCAGGGGTACGCAACCTGCGGTCCGTGGGCTACAAACAGCCCACAGGGGTCATTTAAATGGCCCCCGAACTGAGCCGCCCACTCAGTGAGTCCCATAGCTGTCAACTTTTCCCTTTTCTTGCGAGGAATCCTATTCAGAATAAGGGAATTTCCCTTAAAAAAAGGGAAACGTTGACAGCTATGGCGAGTCGCCGCGCGCTGCACTAAACCGGCACAGCGCAGAGCGGAGACTCGCTTCTGCAGCGCCGGAAACATGCGCAGACACTGGAAATTGCATCTGATCAGAGTTTTCCTCCTCTTAAACGGGCTCCCTTCCCAGATTGACAAGCACCACCTGCCCCTCACTTCTCTCTACAGCACGTGCAGAAACCACAATCTTGACCAGGGCTCGGCAATGTGCGGCCCATGGGCCAGATACGGCCCACGAAGACTGTTTTACTGGCCCACGAGCTGCCCCTGAACCGAGCCGCCTGCTCAGCGAGCCCCCCCCGCACTGTTCTAAACTGCCGTGGCCCGGGGACTCACCAAGCGGTGCCGGAAATTGCATCTGCACATGTGCAGATACTGGAAGTTGCATCTGCGCATGTCCAGACACTGAAAATCACTTCTGTGCAGACATGATTTTCAGCATCTGGGCATGCGCAGAAGCAATTTCCGGCACCGCGGACATGCGCAGACGTGATTTCCGGCATTGTGCTGCGCCAGTCCGGCCCACCAACGATCTCTGTGGGAGTGATTCGGCTCATGGCTGGTAAACCTTGCCAACCCCTGATCTTGACCGTTGGACCCACAATTGACCTTATTGGTCAATCTGCCAGAGTCTGCTTTTGCATGCAGGGGAAGGCCCTAACTCAACAGGGGTTTGAGTCCCAACGGCTACCCTCACCTGGTTTAGCCAGCCAGTCAAAGTTGTTTCCGGGGTGTGGCTGCTGTCTCATGCTGGCATCTTCTAGGAGCCATAGGTGAGAGCTGAGTGGGGCTTTGGTGGGCACCAAACTACCCCAAAAGGATCACGATGTGTCCCCACCAGAGGTACTACTCCTCCCCCAGCACCCCATACATTTATTAATCTCTATAAATAAGCAATAATATCAGGAGATTAGCAAGTAGCCTGCCTCTTCTACCAGAGAGTGGGAGACTCCGGCGATGTCTACAGTTTCCAGGAACTCTTCTCACTGTGCGACTTTTGAGCTGAGAGTTTGTTTGGATCCTGGGCAAGAACCTGGAGCTTGAGAGGGAAGGTATGCTAGAAGGAAAATGAGCTGAGATTCATTTTTATGTATTAGCATCTTTGCACCGATGTGCCGTTTTTATGCGTAACTGTATGTTTTCGTAAGATTTTGTTTACGCTGTCCGTTGTTGCTTCAGTTTTCTTTATGCCCTTTAGATATATTTTTAATCTTTTAAACGGTATAGAAATTCAGTAGTCAATAGTCAATCACCTGCTATTCTCAGGCTGCTGTCAGGGTAGCCGCTACCAATTCCTTCTGCGAGAACTAGGCCACAGGTGCAAAACTGATAGTGATCTAATCGAGACTCAGTACGGTAAGCATGTCAACAGGATTCCTGAATAGTACCTTTCTGGGCATGTTGCACCAGCGATTGGGACACATCAGGTGTGTGCAGAAGGTTCTGGCCAGAGGGTAGTGTTCTTATTTCTGTTGTACAGGTTCAGCTGCCACTGAGTCACGGAGCTATACAGGCCAGAGGAATTTCTGTGTGCGTGAGTGTGTGCATGTACTGTGAATGTTGTATTGCAGATGATAAAAGGAAGAAGGCATCCTTGGCCAATGGAAACAACTTCTTTACTCAATGGGTGTGCTATTCCACACCAGTCGTACTCGGAGCAGACCCACTGAAACCAATGTATTTAAAGAGCCAGTGTGCCATAGTGGTTAGCGTGTTGGACTATGACCTGGGAGACCGGGGTTTGAATCCCCGCTCAGCCATGAAGCTCGCTGGGTGACCTTGGGCCAACTAACCTACCTCACAGGGCTGTTGTGAGGATGAAATGATGAGGAGGAGGAAGAAGAACCATGTGCACCACTTTGAGCTCCTTAGAAGATGAAGGTGGTCTATAAATGTCAAAAAATAAAAATAATAATAAACACACTTGAGTTCAGTGGGTCTACTCTAAGAGATGGACAGCACCCAACTTGTGGTCTCATTCCTTCTTTTTAAAGCCATGTTTAAAGATTCTTGGTTGATTTGTGCAACAGTCTTTTTTCCTACACCAGGAGGGCTTGGAATAACTCCTCCACCCCATCACCCTAGGCCAGTAGTGGATGAAGGAACCTGTGGTTTCAGGATAATGTTGGACTTCAACTCCCATCAGCCCCAGCCAGCATGGTCAATGGTTAGGAATGATGGGAGTTGTAGTCCAGCAACACCTGGCAGGCCAAAGGTTCTCTGCCCCCATTGAGCTACTGTTGTTTTACCGTGGGTTGTTTTTACTTTCCGGAACAGCTCTCCCAACAGGAACCTATGCAGTCCTTTTCAATTTGTGGCTTTCCATCTGCAGAAGGCTCTTCCCAGCAAGTTCAACCTGGTGCCCTCATTGCCATCACTTTGGCACCAAGTAAAGACTTACTTTCCCCCTTCCAGGTTTTTGATAAACTGAGACGGTGTTGTTGCCAAGTTCCCTGCGGCCATTATGAGGGTTGTTTTATTTGGTTTTTTTTATAATGGTCTGATGCATTTACGTTTTTAAATGCGTTGTAAGTCGCTTGGAGACCTTTGGGTAACAAGCGACTAAATAATAATAATAACAGCAGCAACAACAACAATACTTCCTTTTCATTGATTCAAAATAAAAAAATTCCTTCCAGTAGCACCTTAGAGACCAACTAAGTTTGTTATTGGTATGAGCTGTCGTGTGCATGCACACTTCTTCAGACAGACTGAAACAGAAGTCACCAGACCCTTATATAGTGAGAGGGTGGGGAGGAGTATTACTCAGAAGAATGGTGGGTATGGGTGATTGGTTGATGGGTGTGGTATACCTGTTGACGACTGCAATTGGTCTTACAGGAAAAAGCAAGGGGTGAGATGGCTAAAAATAGCCTTAAGGTAAAGGTAAAGGGACCCCTGACCATTAGGTCCAGTCATGGCCAACTCTGGGGTTGCGGCACTCTTTATTGGCCGAGGGAGCTGGCGTACAGCTTCTGGGTCATGACTAAGCTGCTTCTGGCGAACCAGAGGAGTGCATGGAAACGCCATTTACCTTCTCACCAGAGCGGTATCTATTTATCTACTTGCACTTTGACGTGCTTTTGAACTGCTAGGTTAGCAGGAGCAGGGACTGAGCAACAGGAGCTCACCCCATCATGGGGATTCAAACCGCTGACCTTCTGATTGGCAACTCCTAGGCTCTGTGGTTTAACCCACAGCGCCACCCGCATCTGGTGGCAACCTGGGAAGGTAGCCCATCTAGCAGAAGGAAAACTCTGGTCCTGAATCTTCAATAGAGAAAAGGCTAAGGAGTAAACCCTACACAAATCAGGAATAGAGTCACTAAGATGGTTGGGTGGTTCCTTGTGTGGGGCTATTCTTCTCCTTTGGGCTACTCTTGCAGCCAGGCTGCTGTCAACCATATTGCTCTGCTTTCCTTTGGGCAGTGTAGGACCTCCAGACACACTGCCCAGGCTCTCACCCCTGGGAAGTAATGTCAGTGCTGCTGATACAGCGGTTTAACTTCACCCCTGGAGGCACACTCCATTGTCTAGCAAGACAGATGGATGCCAAGAAACAACAAGATAATAATAATAATAATAATAATAATAATAATAATAATAATTTATTTATACCCCGGCCATCTGGCTGGGTTTCCGCAGCCACTCTGGGCGGCTTCCAACAGAATATTAAAATACAATAATCTATTTAACGTTAAAAGCTTCCCTAAACAGGGCTGCCTTCAGATGTCTTCTAAAAGTCTGGTAGTTGTTTTTCTCTTTGACATCTGGTGGGAGGGTGTTTCACAGGGCGGGTGCCACCACTGAGAAGGCCCTCTGCCTGGTTCCCTTTAACTTGGCTTCTCACAGCGAGGGAACCGCCAGAAGGCCCTCGGCACTGGACCTCAGTGTCTGGGCAGAACGATGGGGGTTAAGGCCGTTACCTTTATTGATTATACCTGCTCCAGCTCAGAAGCAAACCTTTCTCTTTTTGCTGTGTACTTGCCTCTGACCCAGCTTTGCCTTAGCCTGGATTTGGATTTCACTCACCCTGCAGAATTTAGCTCTAACGGGGAGGGTGCGCAGAAAATAATGTAGAAATAAGGGATGATTTGAAACCCAGATATCAGAGGAGGGGGGAAGGAGGCAGGGGGAAGTCAATGCAGAAAGTGGAGAACCTGTAAGGAGGAAAGGGATAATTGGAAAGTGGGGCAGGTAGAGGGGGAGATGGAGGGCACCTGTATTGACAGAAATAGCTTCTTTTATCAGGTGCTCAGGAAAGGCTAGCTGACGGGGTGCGTTCGGAACAGATTCAGAAGACAGGCGCTAATGAGAACAGTGTCCTGGGCCGGCCAATGCGAGGTTTGGAAAACTCTGAACAAAGGCTGCCAGGGTGGCAGTTGGACAAATAAACGAAGAGGAGCTGATTAAGAGAGTAAAGATGTGTGTTAAATTGGACATTGGATTTAATAAAGTGCAGCCTGGAACAAATTGCCTGTAGGCCCACTCTTGGAAAGGTGCGCTGTGTCAGCCTCGTGGCAAGCGATGGGAGCTGTGTGTGGGAGGACAACTTGACAGAGGGGCCAAGCCCACCGGAAAAGAAATGAAGATGGGTGTTTTAATTCACATGGAACCGGTCACACACTAAGAATGGGGGTATTATGAAGCACCTTTCCTTTAGCTGCAGGAAAGGTTGATACAGAGGGCAGAAGGTACGCCAGAAAATTTATTAAGTTTATTATTACATTTATATTCCACCTTTTCTCCAATGTAAGGTAAAAAGGTAAAGGGCCCCTGGACGGTTAAGTCCAGTCAAAGGCAACTATGGGGTTGTGGCGCTCATCTCGCTTTTAGGCTGAGGGAGCCGGTGTTTGTCCACAGACAGCTTTCTGGGTCATGTGGCCAGCATGACTAAGACGCTTCTGGCACAACAGAACACTGTGACGGAAGCCAGAGCGCACGGAAACGCAGTTTACCTTTCTGCCACAGTGGTACCTATTTATCTACTTGCACTGGTGTGCTTTCAAACTGCTAGGTTGGCAGGAGCTGGGACAGAGCAACGGGAGCTCACCCCATCGCGGGGATTCGAACCGTTGACCTTCTGATCGGCAAGCCCAAGAGGCTCATTGGCTTAGACCACAGCGCCACCCACGTCCCAAGGAGCTCAAGTTCTCCAAGGAGCTCAAGGTGATGCACTCTCTCTCTCCCCACCTGCCCACCTCTCCATTTTATCCTCAAAGTGTCTCCTGCTTGGAAATGAAGAAGAGGAGGTTCTGGCCCCAAATAAGAGGATGTTTAAATATGGCTTGGGCTGTTTGTTTTACGAATGGAAACTCAGCTCGTTCTAACCGGTGAGCATGTTGCCTCTGACATTGCCTGTCACTTAAGTGCTTGATAAACAAATACAGTGGTACCTCGGGTTACAGATGCTTCAGGTTACAGACGCTTCAGGTTACAGACTCCGCTAACCCAGAAATAGTACCTTGGGTTAAGAACTTTGCTTCAGGATGAGAACAGAAATCGTGCTCCGGCGGCGCAGCAGCAGCAGGAGGCCCCATTAGCTAAAGTGGTGCTTCAGGTTAAGAACAGTTTCAGGTTAAGAACGGACCTCTTCATGTATGCGACAATGGCCGCGAGAGTTCTAATAGCACAAGGATGGAAGACTGAAGAAACCCCAACTAAACAATCATGGCAAGAAGAATTGATGGACTATGCAGAACTGGCAAAACTGACATATAAGCTACGGGACAAGGATAACTGTGACTTTAAGGATGAATGGGAACCCTTTACAAAGTATCTGAAGACGCAACAAAGCGAACTGGACTCCTTGGCAGGTTTTGAATAAACATTCACAAACTTTTTACTGATAATAATCAGCTAAATAGTTTGAGGATCTATACAACTGTGCAACATGCAGAAAACAGCATTCTCAGAGAAATCAAAGACTGGAACTGAGGGAAGCCGGGGGGTGGGGGTGGGTGGGTTTTGTGTGGGAGGGTGGGGGGAGGGAGGAACAATGAGGAAAAAAATAAGGATGATATGTTTTTGGATAATATGTTTTGTTTTAATTTTGAATAAAAAAAGTTTTAAAAAAAGAAAAAAAAGAACGGACCTCCAGAACAAATTAAGTACTTAACCTGAGGCACCACTGTATTGCCTAATGTGTCTAATTCACCCAATTTCCCCAAAGGCACTCCATCAGCTTTCCAACTGCACAACCGTCTCCCCCTGAACTTCACATTTTGTATCCAACTGCACACTTAAAAAACAACAACAACCAATCAACAACAACCTTGGGCCATAGCTCGGTTGTAGAGCACATGAATTGCATGCAGAAAGTCCTGGGTCCAATTTCTGGCTTCTCCATAGGTGCCTCCTCACAGAAGATTTTGGTGGACCCCGCACTGCTTGTGCATGCAAGCTCCGTGCTGTGTCCACATAACTTCAACCTCACCAGACACTGCTGCCTGGTATTACTTTCCCATTTAATCCGGATTTATGTTTCCGTGGAAAATCCGATTAAGTAGGAAAAAACCCAGCAGATACAGTAAATCCAGATTAAAGCAGGTGTCCGGTGGGGGCGGGGAGGACATTGAGTGGCATTTTGATGAGGACATCATGTGGACACTGTGAAAAACTTGCAAGGCAATAAGCTGCCACGTGGAAGCGTCCCTGGTTGGGCTGCGAAAGGCCTGCCTGAAATCCTGCAAAGCTGCCGACTAGCAGACAGTACTAAATTAAATGGATGAGGGATAGGCAACTTGGCGTCCCGCTCCTACAAGTCCAGGTCAGCTTGGCCAATAGTCAGAGATGATGGCAGCTGCAGTCTAAAACAGCTGGAAATTGCCAGATTGGCTAGTCCTGAAATGGTCCAATGGTATGACTTTGTATAAACACGGTATATCCTACACAGAGCAGTGGTTCCCAGCCTTTTCCACCTATGAATCATAGAACTGTAGAGTTAGAAGGGATTCTAATGGTCATCTAGTCCAGAGGGTCTTGGCAGACCTCTTAATCATAATGCAAGGGTGTCCAAACTCTTTTCAAAGAGGGCCAGATTTGATGAAGTGAAGGGCCGTGAGGGCCAATCGAAGTCGTTGACCGTTTTTTAACCCAAAGTTGTTGAGGTTTTTTTTGGGGGGATTTTACCCCCCAAAATAAACTGCCACTGGAGCCGGATTAGGCCATCAAAATGGACATGCCTGTTGTAGCAATTGTAATGGGATGTGCTAGATGCCGTATGCATTTTTATTGCTTCTGTTATTTCCTGCGTATTTCCTGCACATTAAAGGACTGTATAAGAAATGAAAAAAGCCAATAAAAATCACAATTAAAAATGAACATGAATATTTTATGTGACGGGTGTGCCGTCCCCCGTCTTCCAGCACAAGAACCACAGGCATCTCTCAGAGCACCTGAAGGAAGCTCACAGACCACCACTCGCCAGCTGATAAGGGGCAAGGTCATTCCCACTAGGTGCTGCTTTTCTGCCAGTGCATGCAGGAAGCATAGCTGTCAACCTTCCCTTTTTTTTGCAGGAAATTCCCTTATTCCCGCTGCTTCCCACTGCTATCCCGGATTGTTAGATATCCAGTAGACTGTCCCCAGGACAGGTGAGGCTGCTGATCCCTTATTTTCAAATCTGAAAGTTGACAGCTATGGCAGGAAATGCACCAGCAAAGTAGACCCCCCTCCACCTTGTGGGTCAGCTTTGATCAATCTTCAGAACCTCTGCAGGGTCAGTTTGGCCAACGAATCATCATGATGTCAGATGACTGACAGGTGAGCGGCTCCCCTTGCCTGTCAAAGTGGGCCTGAGGGTTGCATGGCACCAGCAGGCCAATAATGTTTCCCACTACAGTGAGGAGGAGGTAAGCCCCCTTAAGAGAGTAGGGACAGGGCATAAGTCCCTCCCCCAAATCTGGGGCCGGCACTAGTAATTTATAGCAGAATCCTATGAACGTTTACTCAGAAGTTAGAACCACTGTGTTCAATGGGGCTTTCAGTATGTTTGCATGTATGAGTGTTGCTGTGTGCAAGGGCCTTGTACGCACTTTTTTGACATCCCCTTCCCCAAGTACGAAGGGACGCGGGTGGCGCTGTGGGTTAAACCACAGAGCCTAGGACTTGCCGATCAGAAGGTCGGCGGTTCGAATCCCCGCGACGGGGTGAGCACCCATTGTTCGGTCCCTGCTCCTGCCAACCTAGCAGTTTGAAACCACGTCAAAGTGCAAGTAGATAAATAGGTACCACTCCGGCGGGAAGGTAAACAGCGTTTCTGTGCGCTGCTCTGGTTCACCAGAAGCGGCTTAGTCATGCTGGCCACGTGACCCGGAAGCTGTACGCCGGCTCCCTCGGCCAATAAAGCGAGATGAGCGCCCCAGCCCCAGAGTCGGCCACGACTGGACCTAATGGTTAGGGGTCCCTTTACCTTTACCTCCCCAAGTACGCACACTAGCATGCTGTAAAGACAAACAAAAAAAATTACAAAACTCAGCATGAAACAAAGTTCATACAGGGTTGTAACTTTACAGTGCAGCCCTATACATATCTACTCATTTAACAGTTTTTATCTGTTTTTCAATATCTTAGACATAAATTGCCTTGAGACGGTGGTTTGGAAGGCAATTAAGAAGTCTAATAATAGTATGCTAGAGTAAATCCCACCGGGGATTGCTCCCAGATAAGTGGGTACGGGATTGAATGGCAGCCCTAAAAACCTACATTTTAAACTGGATCTCTTGTATCTTCTCGGAAGAAAGGCACACCGTGTTCAGCAGTGATTATTCCTGCTGGGTGCTGCAGTAAGAGGGTAGGTAGGCGTGTAACCCATGCTGTTACCTTCATTAAGATCAGAAACCTGCTTTTCTGAGAAAGAAACCAGTTTGGACGAGGAGGCAGAAGGGCACCACAGGAGTTTAGAGGAGGCTTGGATGCTTGTTTTAAGCCTGCTTTCGAGAGTTAACAGGTGTCTCCAGGTCCCTTATCTACCACCAGACATTGTTGTGGTGCACAAGAGAGAATGCCTGAAAAGAACAATGAGCTTTATCTCCCCCGTCCTGCTGAAACAAGCTCCCCTCTCCACTTCCCCCAGAACGAGAAGAGGCATGAAAAGAGCAGAGCAGAGCAGAAATTGGCTGCATGCAGGCAGAGTCTCCAATTGCTTTGGAATAGCCCTGGGGAGGCAGGGACTTAGACAGCAGACCTTCAGACAAGTTGCTGTGCTCAATAGGCCTGACAATCGTGTGCAGATTGCGTTTTTGCTAATAAAGAGTTAACTCCAACTTGCACAGTGTGAATTACTGCTGGCTCACTCCCGACATCGATGTCTGTTTAGTGAGCCATCATATTTTACACACATAGATGTTTAGTTTATACTAAAGACATTTATGTTTAGTTTGTACCGTACATTATTTGTTGCTTAGGTTTTCTAGTGTGGCACCCATGGCACAGATTGGTGCTTAGTGCAGCAACATCTATACTTTGGAATTCCCTGCTTATTGATATCAAGCAGCCTCCTTCGCTATGTTCTTTTCGGTGTCTGCTAAAAACATTTTTGTTTAGCCAAGCATACACAGATGCTTAGAAATGCTGGTATGCCTTCTTACCTGTTTTAGTATTTTAACTTGTTTTATGTTTTAAACTATCGCCACAATTTTAACATTGATTTTATTGTTTTTAACTTCTTTGCAAACAGCTTCAAGGTGGTTGTTGTTTTCAAACATTCAAGCGCAAACAAACAAACAAACAAACAGTGCAACTGTGGATGGGAAGGTCCCCTGTCCGTATCAGACTGAACCTGCCTGGAAACTGGGGAATAGTGGTTTGCAAGAGGTTGGCAGCATTTAAAACTGCACAGCCTTCACGCAAGGCAATAATAATAATAATAATAATAATAATAATAATAATTTATTTTTTGTACCCCGCCCATCTGGCTGGGTCTCCCCAGTCACTCTGGGCGTCTTCCAACAAAGATTAAAAATACATTAAACGATGTATTAAACGATGTCGGGGGGTGGAAAAACAGCTTTGGAGCGGGTGGGAAACTGCTGTCCTAAGCCCGACAGAGATACCTGCTGCCTAAGCAGCGGTGGGAAAAAACCCGCTTTGCTTCTTGAGCCTGAAATAAAATCCTCGCTCCATTCGACCCCTCCCACCCCGAGGTGGGAGGAGCCTAGCCTCGCTTTCGTCCCAAGATGGCGGCGCCATTGAAAAAGCCCTATGCGAGCGGCCCTTTTTCTCCCCGTGACGTCACGACGTCCAACGTCCCATGAGAGGAAAAGGGGCGGAGCCTCTGCAGCCGAGCCTCGTTCCGGTGTCAAGATGGCGCCGGGGCTGGGATCGCCCTATGCGCTTGCCTCGGGGCGGCGCGCGGGGCTCGGCAGAGGAGGAGCCGCCGCCGCCGCAGCCTCCTGTCCGGAACGCGGCGGGCGGGGGGAGCGTTGCCATGGCAGCGAAGAGTAGGTGTCACACCGGGCCACTTCCTGGTTGGAGGCCAACGTCCCGGGCACTCAGCTGTGGCGGTTGGGGGGGGCGGGGGAGGAGGCGGCAACGGCGGCGGCGGCACGAGGCCCCGGAAGGAGCGCTGAGGTAAATTGAAGGGAGGAGGGAGCGGAGGCTGGGCTCGTGGGGAGGGGGCGCCCGGCCCTTCGTGGACCCCCTCGGCTGTGGCGGGGCCCCTCCATGCTGAGGGCGAGAGGAGAGCCAGGCCTCGAGGCCTTCCCTGAGGGAAAGGTGGGCTGTTCCATTCTCCCCCAGAGGGGTGGGCGGGCCGGGAGTTTGGCTCACTCCAAATCCACCTCGCGTGTGGTGGGTTTTCCCGTGGAGCTGAGGGCGTGTTGGATTAGTGTTGTGTGTGGGGGGGCGGGGGCGTCTCTTCCTGGACTTTCCCCCTCCTGCTCCTCTGGGACCCTTTGCAGCTCGAGGGGACAAAGGGGAGGCTCTCCCCCTCCCCACTTCCATTCATGGTGGGTCGACTCTGGGATGGGGGGGGGAGTCATGGGGGGGGGAAAGCGAAATGCCAGGGTTTTTCCTTTGTATGGGAAGTGGGGCGGGGTGGTAGTAGGAAGCCGCCAGACACCCCAGTTTCGACTCTCTTGGAGGAGGATGCTGGGTTGGGGGGGGGGCGGGAAGGAGGAGTTTTCCGGAGGGGGGAGCTAGAGGGTGTGGGGAGGTTTCTTCGTGCATTAAGGTAAGGGGTGTGTGTGTTTAGGGGAGGGGGAAATAACTGCAGACACAGCAGAGCGAAGGTGGTTTGGAGGTGGTGTGGGAGCAGGAGAGGAAAAAAAGGATTTTTGCTGCTGAATCCTGTGCATTATTTGCTCAGAAGTAAGTCTTGCTATTTCCAATGTGTGTGTTTTAACTTCTAAGTAAGCATGCCTAGCATTGTAGACTGCAAAAGGATTGCTGCGGAAGTTCTGAAAAGTGGAGAGGATCTGAATGGTCCCTGGGAGTCTATGAGCCTTTGATGTGGGGAGCTGAAGCTTATGGTGGATTACATATAGGGACTCTTAATTTGATTTACTCCGTATGTGTGTATACGTTTTTTAATGCCCACAGTTCAGTAAGACGTTTTGCCATCTCTAACAACAAGCAATACCGCAATTAAAAGCAGAAACTTGAAATGTTTGCCCCTTTTGGTGATATAAAACTTTTGGGAAGGAAAGAAGTTTCCCATAATTTGTGCCTCTGTTGTAAAAGTCTTGGACCTCTATGCCATGTATTGATATGGGGTTTGGGTAGTGGAAAGAGTCTTGTATTGGGCACAAAAGACTCTGAACTAATTTTGTTGGTATCTCTCTCTCTTCTTTGAGTGGGTTGATGTTAGAAAGTTATCAACCTAGCAGCCTTGAGGGGGGAGTGAGGGCCACCTGCTCCAGCGCATTGGTACTCTAATACAAAAGTCCTCCAAAAGCAGCTTTGCTCCCTCCACCTTGAATGGTCACTTACAGAAGCTATGGCTGTTGAATTGTAAAGTTCCTTCCTTGATCGGGTCCTTTGGGAGCTGAACCAAAACCACTGACATTTGCTGTTTGGCTGAATGGCTGGTCCAGACAGTAATTGAAGAGAGCTGCTGTATTCTATTACCGATCCCCTCAGGATTGCTTCCTTTGTTGAAAAGTTTGGAGCAGTTTATTAGAGCAACTGGACTGTCAGTTTTATATTGTGTGGCGGTGGAATTGAAGTGCATTGTGTAGTGTATAGTTTAACAAATAACTCTTTCAGCCTGGTCCTGTTTTATTCAGAACTTACTGAGTTTGGTCAGAGCTTTTTGCCAAGTAAGGCTGAAATCTTCAGCATATTGTACTGAAACTGAGAACACAGTGGGAGTTGCTTTTCAGTACACATGTGTAGGATCTGGCTGCAAGACTACAATATTGCAGCCTTTGTATAGTTACTTTGAATTGTTATTTAAATGATAGCTGCCCTAACCTGATGGACTTCATTTTTCTCCTTGTTGGACAATACCTGTGACCTTTTGGCAACTACGGGAAAGCTGTTTGTCAAGTGATTCTTTGATGTGTAAATTCACTGAAACTGTGAATGAGGATGAGGGTGTGTCCTGGTGAATATTTGATCTGTGCTTCTATTCCTTGCCTCACTTGTCAGTACTGCAGGAAAGGTTGTTAAATCTTAGGAAGTGATTTGCTTTTGTTGTAACTTGGAGCACTTCTTGGATGGTAATGGTGGAAAATTTAAACTGTTAAGTTACAGGATAGCTGCCTGCCTTATTCTCTCGTGTTTTGTACTCTTTCGCTGAAGACTGTTAAATTAACTCACTGCCTGAAATTTGAACTGAGGGCAACAGCAAGCTTCTCTGTTTTACAGAATTATCTCCAAATTGACAGCTCATTGGTCTGTTGATTAGGAGAATTAGGGTTTGTACACTCATGTCCCGAGGAAGTATTTTGAGACTGAAACTGTGACAATAACATGTTTGTGTTTGTATCTAAAAGAAACCAGCCAGATATAATGCAAGTTGGAGTTGCGCCAAAATGGAGTAGTTGCTCAGGAAAAGGCATTGTCGGCAATTTTCTTCTTGTTATATTATGTTTGGCCAAGCATGGATTATCATACCCTGAACTCTGCTTGTGCTGCAATTTATTGAAGCGCAAACTTCCCGCAGCTTGTGTTACTGACTGCAGAAGCCATGCTCTTTTTCAAGGCCACAGACCTCTATGTGCATGGAAGTAACCTTTGAGTCTTAGGGGCTTGTCTCCAAGTAAACATGCATATGATCAGCTTGAAAGTCTGATTTCACAATAAAAATATGTATAAAAGCAGATTGCTATCTTTTATAATTCTGAAGATAATGCTTAAAAAAATGTGTGGGCAACTCCTGGTGAACTCTGAGAGGTGGCTGAATTAGCAGGCTCGGTTTCAGTGTCCTGCATAGTTCTGGCCCTCTCTGTATAACTAGTAGAGGCACCAAAATTTATACAGAGTAGTGTAAAAATGTTTCCACAGGGTGCAGAATGAAGCGTTATTTTGGCTGAATTTAGTGGGGTTTTTGGTACAGTCATTCTTGCAGTGGTAGAGCAAGACTTTGAAAAGATGCTATGAACATTTACCGTATTTTTTGCTCTATAAGACTCACTTTTTCCCTCCTAAAAAGTAAGGGGAAATGTGTGTGCGTCTTATGGAGCGAATGCAGGCTGCGCAGCTATCCCAGAAGCCAGAACAGCAAGAGGGATCACTGCTTTCACTGCGCAGCGATCCCTCTTGCTGTTCTGGCTTCTGAGATTCAGAATATTTTTTTTCTTGTTTTCCTCCTCCAAAAACTAGGTGCGTCTTGTGGTCTGGTGCGTCTTACAGAGCGAAAAATAAGGTATATACTGCCCTATAACTGCAGGTCTCAGGGTGGTTCACAGGATAAAATCAGAAACATAAAACCACAATATACAGAATCAAAATAAAAACAACAACCCAATAACTCCCCCCCCCCCCATTTCAGGAGGGCATAGAATGTCAATTAACCCAGCTAAAAAGAGTAAAGACACTAAAAAACACTTTGTAACTAAGGAAATGGTAAAACGTGCATCTTGGTGACTGGACATGAGAGGCTCAGTATGGCTGGCCTAGGAGTTATTTCTTGCTAAGTGGCTTCACCCTTGCTAAAATAGCACCTGTCCTCATACTAGGTGGAGTTGTAATTAGAATGGAATTTCTAATAACTATAGTAACCAAAGCTTGCAAAGGAGCACATTTTTAGCATCGTATGATTATCTAAAAACTCTCACAACACTTATGTCTGTGTCAAAATTACAGTGCAGGAGAGACATGGTACTGTAAATGCTGATGCAGAGATCAGGTCTTGTGTGGTGTCTCTAACAAATCCTTCCAGACCTTGACTGGAGTGTGTGAAAGAGCAGCTTGGTTCTTGGATAACACACACCTCTCTGTCAAAGCACTTGTTGTAGGTCATTGATAGACAGTAGCAGCCCAGAGGGGAGTGTGCTGCAAGTCAAGTATGAGAGCCATTTTATACATCCAGAATTCTGTAGTGAAACCTTTATTGAATGCTACTGCTGCAGGCTGACGGTTATATGCTTGATTGTACCTTGGAAGATTTTTGGGGTAGGGGGGTTAAGTTGAAGGATTTCATCACAGGTAGAAATGTGACATGTCAAAGAGAAGGCAAAGTTGAACCAAGAACCAGCTCCCCTGTCAAAGTGGACTCTGGTGGGCTTCCTTGGCTGGCTTAAGTACTTGTGCCAAGTAGCAACTGTTCAGTGATCTGGAGGAGGCAGTGAACTTCCCAGCATTTTAATTTCTCATAGATACCTGGAGCAGTGTTGTGGGCATCCTGGTAATTAAAAGTCAGGCAGTTCACAGACCCAGGTGCCTGCTGTGTGGGGTGGGGAGAAGGACCGGCATCAGTGGTGGGCTCTGACACCTGCTTGAGGATGCCAGGTGCTAGTCCTGGCTCACCATTTCCTCAACCTGCTCGTTTAGAAAATCCAAGTAGATTTATAGATGGGAAAATATTCTTGCATGGATTAACCCACCTTCAAGCCTCACTTTTTGGGATTCTGACAAAACTCCACTACTTGATTTTGCTGAATGTATAAAATGGCCTTGGTAGGTGCTGCTGTATAGTTGCATCATGGGTTAGTCACTTGAGCTGTAGATAAACATATCAGTCATATCTGCCACTTGTACCATGATTTCTGCAGCTCAGTAATGTGGCTAAATTACTGTTCTCATGTAAATCAACTGTCTTTTAAGTCCATGGTGGCAGGGCATTGGCTGTTTACAATAACTTTGTCTTAAAGTCCTTTGTTTTTCACTGAAAATCCCCTTATCATAAAAAGAAGTGGGTGCCACTGAAGCCTCTTGGAAAAGAAATGTACACTTTGCTCTTTGTTTTGAAGGCGTTTTCCGATGCCTTTCGACAGAATTGACAGCGTTCAAGGCCACTAATGACTTAAAAGCACCATATTGCAGCAGTAGCAGTAAAACGGCAGATATGAAATGTGCACCCAATAATAAAAGTTGGCTGTAAACACCTAGTGCCTGTATTTGCAAAACACAATGAGATCCTGGAAGTAAAATGTTGGTAAAGCTTTTGTAATGAATGCTACAGAGTGACAAGTTCAAAGGCTGGTGGAACAGAATGTGTGGAGTAGAATTTTCGTAGGTGCTGCCTGACTTTGCTTGGAATTTACAGATTTAATCTCATGTGGAGACAAGGTCCAGAGCAGATACGCCTCCTCCCACTCCTAATAATCAGTGTGCATTCTAAGGTACACTGTTAGTTGCTTGATTGCTGCCAGTTAAAAAGGAAATTCACCTCACCTGTGCGCAATATCTGGACATGTAACATGGCCCCTAGAGGACCCCTGGTTCTAGCTCTTATTCACACATTACACTGGTTACAAGTAAGAAGCATAGATTCTACTTCCTCATACAATGACTTTCCGCCTCCAACCTCCTCTTTGTCTTTCAGGAAAGCTCTGAATGTCTGCCACAGAAACACAGGATTTTGCTGGGGGTTCTGTGGTTGTTCTAAGCACACTCACTTTATGCTGGGCACTCACCAGACATGTTGTGCATCGCTGATGCTATGCATGGACTGGACATTTTCTAGGATGCACTTAACACTTGGATATGGTAGTCTGGAAAAGAGATAATTAAGAAGTGATATGATAAACTAGCTTTAAATATCTGAAGGGCTATGGCATATAGATAATAGAGCAAATGTGTTTTCTGTTGTTCCAGAGGGCTGGGTATAAATCATCGGATTCAAATGACAAGTCAAAGGATTTAGATTGAAAATTAGGTAGACCTTGCTGGTGGTGAAAGCTGTTTGACAGAGGGACTTAGAAGATGGGATGCCCTTCTTCGTTAGAGGTTTTTAAGCAGAGGCCTGCATTGGCAAAGGGTTGGACTAGCTGCCCTTTGAAATCCCTAACTCCATACCTCTGTGATCTTACCACATTGCAGGAAAATACCAGTCATAAGGAGACAAACAAGCTTCATAGAAGCTTGTCTGTTATCATTGATCTTTTTACTGAGGAACCCCTGATGGATTTCCTTAGAGCCCAGTTTGAAAACCGCTACCCTAGCATGTGGGATAGTTATGAGTGTACCATGGAAACCTGCTCCCAGGAACCACAGTTGAACATGTTTGCCCAATGCACATTTGCAGGTTATGCACAGGGCCAAAACATTTTGCTGCCTGAGGTAGAACAGCAAATGGTGCTTCCCTCCTCAAGTCCATGTTCACAGTACCCAAGGTTGACTCAGTTGTTTTGGCTCCTGAGTCAGAAAATGCTAAATTCAGTAACTAACAATTCCTTCCTTTTCATGGCACCCAGAACCAGCTGCTTGAGGCAGACACCTCAGTCTTCCTAACGGTAGGGCTGGCGCAGGTGTTGCATGAGGTAAAAAAATGATGTGCAGTGTGTAACTTGCATGTTACATGTTAGCTGCAGGTGCATGCTGAACTTCGTATGCTGTTGTGAGAAGCATCCCTTAGGAAGGACCTAAGTAACAGTGTTGCTTCTGTGAGCCAATTATGTAATAATTGTAATTAGCCATAGTAAATAGTTCAAAGAAGTGAAAGTTGCCTTCAGAGGATAACATAGTTGAGTCAAAAGATCACCATTATAATCAAGTGCATCATTTAAAACATTTTATCTTTGATTAGGCAGTGTGTTGAGTTGCAGGAGCCTAGTGAGGAGTTGTTTCACTTAGGGAATTGACAGAATTGATAGTTTTCATGATTTCTTCCAACTTCCACATGAAATCTTTTGTTTCACGTACACCAGATGTGATAGCCCAAGCCGAAAAATGACCAGATTTGATGATTTGTATTCTCCAGACAGTGATTCAAGGGTGCTATGTATATTTTGCTGCATAAACTGGCCCATTCATGCATAGTCAATTTCCATAATGAGCTGGGCACCATCTAGTGATTGCTGCTTCACCCTTAAGAGAGTGAGTATAAGTGTTGCATGCAAAATACATGTACTTATGGGTGGCATATAAAATACAGTGATGTTGTGGGAGTACCTGTTAGGGGGAGAACCATGCTCTTGACTTTGGAACATCACTTGGGCCTCAGAATGGGGCAAGGCATTTTTTCATTCTCATCCCTGGTCTCTGCTTCTAGGCACCCGGCTGAGCTCCAGAGAAATCCTCTTTTGCTTTACCACCTCACCCCAGATGACACCAGCTTCCTGCTGTCCCCACAGATCCCTCATGACTACCCTATTCTGTGAGGCTCGGATTTTTTTTTTAAAAAGCATATAAATGAAATCATAAAGAATATGCTATATTGCCAACTCATTTAAAATATGGCAGTGTACAATAAAACAACCAAAACGTGAAATGCAGAACAGATGACCAACAATCAATCAAATTAATTCTCTAAAATGCTTGGTGAAACAAACATTTTTAGGACGTGGTAAAATATCAGTATTGTGGGTACCTGTCCCAGTTACCTGGGAACAGGGGCCACACTCCTTTATATTCCCCTGCAGTGGGAGGGGCTGCATTCTCATTTTCATGATTATTATCCGTAATCACCACTACAAAGAAAGACTTTTGGTGTCCTGTTTAATAGCTTTGGTGTCTGAAATATTCTTCTACAAGCTCTGCTGTTCTAGGGAATTAAATTCCCTTTCACTTTTCCTTGTAGCCATTTTGGTGGGTTGTGAGGGAATGCAAGCTGCTTAAAAAGCTGAACAGATTTTTCATCTACAGTTTGGGTAGGACCTGAACCAATGCATTAATGCTACAAGAAAGGAGCTTTTGTGGGTTCCTTCCAACTACAATTCTATGAGTTAACTGGTTCCATCTTTTTCTCCCTAGCTTCAGCAGTGGGGTCACCTCTGAAAAACCGATGACAAAATTTTTATATTGCAGCTTGGGCATGCTTTTCTTGTGAACAAAACAGTGGGGAAATATTCTACCATATTTTGATAAAATATGGTGAGCTATTGGCAGGGGAGAGAAATATTTTTTTCAGGGTGTGAGAATACCATAGTGTTGGTGCTCTCTTTCCTAAGCAAGAAAACAAAAGAGGGAAGTGTACTGAAAGTGCTCTGAAAAGTTGGTTTCATAAAAAGTTTTCCTTCATCAAAGGCAATCTAAAACACTTACAAAAAGATACAAGTATACTAACAGCTCTTTAAAACCTTTTAAAACATCTTAACAAATGAAGAACAATCAGTTAAGCCGTCCTTTTCTATCTTTAAACTCAGATCTATAAAACAGAAAGCTGTCGCTAGTATAAATCAAACTAATCGTCATGACAAAGTCTTACTGTGAGCCCACTTATATATGGGGAGTTACAAATAGACTTTTACAGAAAGTGCAAATAACAGGGACGGGGAGGGGAAGCTTTTAAGTTGTTACAAATTATTATTGCCTTCAAATGCAATTGGCATGAGCAACAGCCGGGAGGGGGGGCATTTTGAGAACCCCTTTCTCCTTTCCTTTCTTGCATTCATTGTTTGGCTTCCCTTGTTTCGGTTTTTGCTTGAATTTCTCCTATTACAGTAGCAGTTCCTTTGATAGGTTTTGCAACTGATTAACCAGCAAGCTGCCTTTGTAGAAAAATCTGGAGGCTTTCCGGCTTTCTTTCTTGGATTTACTCTGGATCTGCAACTGGATCTGCAAATGTTATGTTCAGTCACATTTTAAGGAAGTTGGATAATTACTTTCTCTCTCATCTTATCCTGCCTAAGCCTTAAGGAATCAGGGAAGAGAGGCACTGCATGGAATTAGCTCACTAGATTTGCACAGATGGCGGTATTGTGGTCAGTTTTTTAAAAAATACCAAGTTACTGAATATTTCTTACAGCAGCAATTCAAAAATGGAAATACTGGGCATACAATAATCCCACAATTTATGCAGGGTTTTACGTTTTGGGAGTAGCACCTAAAGCCAAAATTGCATATAGCCAAAACACATTGGGTTCAGTGTCGGGTGGGATAGCCAAAGTCATTTTTCACAGAACCCCACCCCCTTTATATTTTATTTTTTGCCGTGCACTTAAAGCTGAATGCACACAAGTTAAATGTGCAAATGTTGTGGGCTTACTGTACTATTGAGTTGCCATTTAAGATGACACTCATACTATGAGTAAGGAAGAGTTATTTTCTTTTGTGTGTGACAATATGTGTGTATACATGTGGGGAGTAAAGTGAATTGGGGCTGCTCACCCTGCAATGGCCATGGGTTGATTTTGAGCTGGCTGCTTCTCCTTTCTCTGTGTTGGAACTATGAGGGATAGTGTATAGGACAGGGGTCAGCAAACTTTTTCAGGAGGGGGCCAGTCCACTGTCCCTCAGACCTTGTGGGTGGGCCGGACCCCCCTCCCGAAAGGACCCCCCGCTGCCACTCAAGCCAACACCACCTCGTCTTCGACAGTGTCTTTGTTGTCCTCTGCCTCGGCCAGGTGTCCAAGGGGCGCAGAGCCCATGCCTCTGGCCTGGGCAACAGAGGCAGCCTCCTTGCCACCGCTGCTTCCTCCCGCTCAGCTTTTGGTCATACGTGGCTGCCCAGAGCTTCCTGCAGCCAGTCCAAAGCCGCGCCAGTGTTGCCACCCACCCTGAGGTGCCCACAGCTTTGGATTGGCTGCAGGAGCTTCCTGCAGCCAATCCGAAGCTGTGCCAGTGTTGCGGAAGTCAGTCCCCGTGCGGCGAGGCCTCCGCACCACACTGGTTTAGCGCGTGGACTGACCAAGTGGGCATCAGGGTCCATGGGCTGGATTTACGAGCCCGGTGGTCCGCATCTGGCCCCCAGGCTGTAGTTTGCTGACCCCTGGTATAGGACATACTTGTTGACAGAAAACGGTGTGGGGGCAGGGAGAGAACCATTTCAGTTAATTTCTCCATTGTAGGAGGAGTTTGTCAATGATTTTTCAGGACTTGCCATTAGCACTGCAGTAGCGCAACTCCCCTCTCTTCTTTAGCAAGTGACATCAGCAGCAACTGTTCTTTTCAACTTGACCATCGTCGTACATCCTCGGCAAAGCCCCAGGCCTAGTGTAGCTGTGATAAAAAATGAGGAAGGATGTAAGGAGAAAAATCTGACTTAGGTCTCGTATAGGCATTATTTTTTAATCAATGGTAATCATGTTCCTCATTTAAGCTTTGCCTTCATCTTTCTCATGTCAAGTCATAAGCACAAGGCACACTGCCTAGCCCGGAAGTAAACACTGCAGTCAGTGAACTAACGATCTCTCTTACTGAGAGAGACAAATACAATTACAGCCGGGAACTCTTCTGGGGTTTAATTGGTGAACATGAAGGCACATGTCTGGCTATGGATTATTAACAAAGATTGGATTGTTAACAGATGACTGGAGAATGAGCATACCTTACTTATCTGTTAAAGTCTCACGAAGCTCTGCATATTGCTTTTGATGGTTGTGCCACATAAACATTTACTTGGAGTTTGTTAAAAAAGAGAGAGAAATTATTAGGCTAGCCTACTTTGGGTGAATGTGGATGCAGGCCTGTAGCTGGAAATCTTGTTTGTGGGGGAGGGTAAATGGCAAAGGGGAGTTGCAAGTCAGTACAATACAGCAACAGCCTCAGTAGACATCTCATAACTAATTTTAATAAAACAAAACTTATAAGAAGTGTGTGTCAGTCAATCATTCTTTGTACTTACTGGTTAGAATATGGAGTAAGAGCTGGTTTTCTTCTTCCTGACGAGAGAAATCTGCAGCTTACTTCAAGGAGGGACTAATCCTGTGAGAAAAGGATTGTGAGCTAGTTGCTTAGCCACAGGATGGCATAACGTATGCTCCTGTAAATAAATGGTTTGTGTCATTATTTATTTTGGACACTTTTGTGCCATTTTTAAGGTGACCACACCATAAAGTGATTTACACAAAACAGTAAATTATGATTATTCCCTCCCTCCCTCCCTCCTCCCCCCCTCTCTCTGAAGACTCTTTTAGAGATGGCTAAATTTTGTATCTTGTTCCATCATCTCTCCCTGAATGAGCAGCTAGGAAAACCTGGTACCAGGTGGCAATTACAGCAGAGGGAGCTTCTCTGCTGGATTACAAAAAGTCTCACCCACCCAGCTCTCTTCTTCTCCTCAGTGGGTTTTAGGGGTGGTGTTGGGAAATGAGATGTTAACAGTCCTCAGCCCAGCTGTGGTATTTTTGCTTCTGCTGTTATTAAATAGAATGGCCATCAGGAAAACCTATCGCCTCCTGTTTCATCTTGTGCATGTACATCTTACAAATAAAGTTATGTTGTTCCCAGCTTGAGGTTAATTTCTCTTCATTTCCTCCTTTGTGAGCATTTGGAATAGAATATTTCATTGTCTCTTTAGTGTAACAATGTATGTAAATTAAAGTGAAAACTAGGGAAGGGTCCAAAATATCCCTGGTGAGGGGAAGGCCAGACCTCTGGTGGTATGGTCAGGGAGTGGGTGTGGGAATGTTAAAGATTTATTTGCTAAGATTATTGTGCTTAGACTTACTGTTAGCGTGTTTTTACTCCCTGTCAATAAAGCAGTTCTAAAAATATGTTGAGTATAAAGATGGATGAATATATTTCATTCCTATGGGAGCGATAATAACTTGAGAACTAGCTCCTTCCTGCCCCCATAGGTCTTGAGAATCTGCTGCAAGAGTTAGATTTGCTGATAAAAGTAGTAAATGTAATAGCATGAATATATTCTGTCACTAATAATACCTTTCTTGTTTTCCCTCCCTTTGCCTAGGACATGTATACCTCTGCGAGATCTTCTTGGACAAGATACCTTAGTTTAAGACCTGTTTGGGACCATATGCAAAGAGGCTACCAGTCATGAGTAAGTAAATGTTCTCCAGAGCCCAGAATTTCAAACAGCATTTTAAGTCTTGAGCTTTTAAGAGCAAATTTCTGCCTCTACTATAGTGAATGTAAGTGCCTCTGTCACAGCAATCAGTAAGTAAAGCTTGGCTGTTTTTGACTACCCCCTGTTTTTGGTTGTTTGAATTGTGCAGAAGACTCTCTGGGTGGGTTGTGCCCCAAGCCCCATTGGGATTAACGTCAGCTGAGCCGGCTCAGTAAATGTATGGGATGGCAACAATTTCCAGTGCATCGTTGAGTACTGAGTATGTTGCCTGCATCTGGGCTGATACACTTTTCCAGTTTTGTAAATGAATGTTGCTTTCTTTTGGAGCGGTGTCTCATGAAAGTTAATAAATGTTTTGGTAGGCCAGAGTAACTTATATGTGATAAGGATATTGTTAGGCCATGTGTTTCATGGGTCATTTCACTTCACTGTTGTACGTATCTCAAGCATACACATTAATGGTCAATTAACCGGGTCAATTAACTGAGTCGATTACTATGGTTTTGCAAACCTTTCTAGTCATCTGGTCTTTTCCAACACATGCAATGTATCTCTAATGGCGTAGGAGTTGCTGTAGTGTGGCTGCTTTTCTTGGTTTGTCAGAAATCTGCAGTCAATTGAGAGGAGTCTTTGCTGTAACTTCTTCCTTCACCAGAAAGTTCTTGGTAGGGATGATGGTTCATGGGAATGAGCTGCTGTGTGAAGTCATCTAACATGACCTAACAAGTAGCACAAGAAGGGAACATGCTGTACTGTGTGTGTGTACATGTACATGTATGTGTGAGCATGTGGCCATCCAGATTTTGCTGAACTTCAACCCCAGTAGCATGAACAGTGATCAAGGATGCTGGAAGTTATAATTCAGCAATATCTGGATGGCTGCAGGTTCCCCATCCATGTCAGAGTGGCTTCTAAGCTGCTGAAAGGAATATCGGAGAAAACCTTACTGTTCCTGGTGCATTGATATGACATCTACTTAACAAGAAACAGACTAAATAAGCAGTCTATTGTTAGGTAGGGTTTTCTTTCCATCTGGTCTTCTGTTCTAGCTGGTAGCCATATACCATCTCTTGTTGTCCAGGATGTAGTAGCCTGCAAGTGAAGGCTGCTTGGAGTCTGCAGGGGTAGTGCATATGTTCTCTAACTGGCATACCAGTACAGAAGAACTGCATTACACTTTGCTGTGAATTAAGTTTTTGGAGGATGGATGATTTTCAGTTGAGAATAAGCAGGTTACTTCTGTGTCCAGCCTGGGTTGGTAGATGTTGGCAGGGAGGCTCTATCTAGCTTGCTGTTTTTAAGAGTCTGAAGCATGGCTGCCCTGTGGAAAGGAAAATAATATGCAAATGGAATTATGACAGTCATGGCTTATTTGCTGCTTGTAACAATAAGACAAATAGGGGCCAAACAGAGATCGTCTTTGGTACAAACCACAGAAAGAACTCAAAGGAAAATAGGGAATAGGAGGCACTGCTAATCTTGGGGATCGAAAGCAAAAATACCCCAAGCCTGGTTTGCTTTCTGTTGAATAGAATTTCACCCTCATCAACCCTAAGTGCTCTGTGACCTTTTTGTTTAAAACAATGCTCTTAAGATTGCGTAGGGACTTCGTAGGCATAGCTCCTTCATGGAAAGGTCAACCACTAATACATTGTTATCACTGTTTTTGCAGACACAGAAACACAGCCTGCAACAAATTGTCTGGCAGTCTGCTTTGCGGACTAATTATATAGCACTTGGAAATTTTAATAACTTTTTGGACTGTAAATGAAAGTGTTAACAGCAAACTGTTAGACAGAAGATGAATAATGCAGCAGCAAAACTGTTTCCAATGCTGGCCGTGACATTGTTCATGAATGTCTTTTCTAAGATAGCAATACAAAAATAGGGGAGATAAATGTTGCAAGAACTAGCGCTATCTATCACCTGCCAGCACTGAGAGCTTGAATGTAGAATACTCTACCAGACTGCTTAGGCCTGGTTTGCACATTGCAGCTCCTAGTTGTGTTGATTATCCAGACATAATGCTAAACTGTGCTTAACACTAGCCATGATTTGTTGGTTTTTTGCTAGTTCCAACCAGTAGAGGCTGTTCCATTAGTGTTAATAGGCCACTGCTACGCCAACCCCATTCTACTCTCAGCCAGCCCCTACCTGTTTGCGTTCCTACTTGCTGCCAGTCTAGGAGTGATTCTGTTTTTCAGCTTCCTCATTGTCTTTTTTAGTCTCAGTGTTGCCCTTGGGGAAAGCAGCAGGGAGGAAGATAGGGGCAAAATTAGAATCATTTGCCTCTGCTTGTTGCTGGCTTTGGCTTCACCCACCAGTTTCAGTGGATACCAGCCACCTCTGGATCCAACATACCTTGAATCTATGACTAAGCTAAACCCTTCCCTTGGAGGACATGTATTTAGAGATACCAGTGAGACCTGCTATTTTGCCTTGCAAGCAGGGAGGTTGGAGAGTTGCTGAAATTGCCCAGAATGGCTGGCTTGGTAGAGGTGGGACAACTAGCCACAGTCAATGGAAGCCATGGCTTGCAAACTCATTTCAAACCATTGTTTCACATCCTGAATTTGCAGAAAATTCTTAACTGCAAAAGAATCTGCAGAAAATTCTTAACTATAGTTTAGGTAGTTAAATGTCTCTCTTAACCATAGTTAAGGATGATTACCACAATGTTTTTACTGAAGCATTTGGTGATGGAGGTAGGGGAGGCAGCAGAGATTCTACCATGTTAGTTTCATCCTGTTGGTCTGCCAACACTGCCTCTTGTAGAATAGCTGTGGCTTGATGTGAATGTGGGCCTAATGGTGAATTTATACAGTCAGTAGCTGTGATGATATCAACAGAGATGACTACATATCTGTGCTTGGTAAAGTTTTGGGGACAGACAACTAAGTCTCCTTCCTCAGTGGATGGAAAATATTGGTGCTCCTACATGTGCTCCTGCTCATTTGCTGTGTCGCTCTCTGGCTCTGGAAGCCTAGGCAAGTGGTTTGCTGAGTGAAGCTATAGCTGTTGCCTTGCCTGGCTCCCCTCACTGCATTCTGCTATGCTATTCAGCCATAGGTAGGATCGTTTGGTTCTTTGGCCTTCTCTCTGGGCTGCATTCTCTACCTTTACCTGTAATCTTGGCTGCTGGCAGCCTCTACTGGTGGTGTAAACCTGACTCTCCCCAGGCCTCAAAGTTCTGAATGACGGATGATACTGCTAATAGGAAGACCTTTTTACATTTCAGTATATCAAGGATCAAGTCTTATTGGGGCTGAGGCCACTGTGGTATAGCCTGATTTTTTACCTTCTGCTGTCATATGAGTGGTTCAGTCAAGCTTCACAAAGCCTTGACTCAACACAGAAGTATCGGGTTCAACACTACCACATAATGTAGTTATGCTTACTAACAGCTCTTTATTCTTCCAAAACTTACTTTCCCTCCAGCCCCTCCTAGAAAACTAATCTGTCCCTGTTTGGTTCCTGCATTAATTTTCAAAACCCTCAAGCGCCTAGGGAGTCATGTACCTGAAAGTCTGCCTATTCCCAATGAAGTTTTCTGGGTGGCCTATTCCGAGGCTCAATCCCTAACTGTGGAAATTCCTCCAGAGGGAGATCTACCTGTCACCACCTCTATTGCTAAGATTCCTCAGTCCCCGGGTTTTTGTAGGTTAGTTTATTTATGGTTTGGTATTGTGCTCTTTGGTTTGGCCTGTGGAGCTGGCTTTTCAGAAGTTCCGTTACTGATGTGTATTCTGTTGCTGCTTTGTATTCTGTGATTTATTATTAGGCTGCCTTGAGTGTTAGTCTGCAGAATGGTGATGCATAGAGTTTTTCTCCCTAAATATTTTTGTAAAGAAAAAGTACAAAAGCTGATGTGCAAGAACATGGGAACTGGTCTTTAAAAATTGGAGCCTATACAAGCGTAGCAATAATGGTGCCTTTGGAGCATTATACTCTCCAAATGTCAAGCCTCCTAATTACAGTTCAGTCAGAATATTTGTACTGCCTCCAAAAGAAAAAAAAAGGAAGTCTATAACTGAAAAGTTCTGACTTAACTCTCCATTTTAGTCCATGGGGCAGCCTCGAGCTCATTGCTTGACCCAGTAAATATAGGAAGTGTTTCCTATGGGCAGAAATAAGAAGAAAATTGAATTAAATTAACAAAAATAAAATAAAAATCATAAGTAGCTATATTGGTTTATTAGAAAATTCAACAGTCTCAGTAGGGTAATGCCTTTATTAGGACCAACTAAAATGTCAAAAAGTATTGAGCTCATTACTTTATGAGATTTTAGTTAGAAGTATCACGCTACTGTGGGGTTTGGATCTGAATTATATAGCAGTAATTTCTCCCCTTTTATGCCATGTTGCTGGTTAAGTGAAACTCACTATAATTACACCTATTGTAGCAAATAATTGTATTAATAACACCAGAATTGGTTTCTTGGTAGTCGTGATTTTCCGACCTGCTGCTTCCAAGGAATGTTATTTAATTTGACTTGTCTGCCTTAAAAACCCAGCTTGTTGCTGCGGATTCTGGGGTCCATGGATAAGATACTTGTTGCAGCCACCTTCCTAAAACTGAACAAGTTGACTCTGGATAGGAGACCAGCTGGGAAACTTGCGTATTCACCTTGAGCTCTACAGAAGAAAGGCAAGATGTAAGTGTAATCTAGGGTGTACATTTGTTTCACATGTGGCACCGATCATAACTACATAAGAAAAGCAGTTACTGCTGATGTTAATGACTTTTAAAACATTTATTTAGTCCCCTAGACAGTACAGTGGTACCTCTGGTTAAGAACTTAATTTGTTCTGGAGGAATGTTCTTAACCTGAAACTGTTCTTAACCTGAAGCACCACTTTAGCTAATGGGGTCTCCTGCTGCCGCTGCGCCGCCACTGCACGATTTCTGTTCTCATCTTGAAGCAAAGTTCT